GTCAGCTACTCTCCTACTATTACTATCCTAATCTACTACTCTCCAGCGATTTCAATCGATACGTATCTAATCTTGTCAGCTACTCTCCTACTATTACTATCCTAATCTACTACTCTCCAGCGATTTCAATCGATACGTATCTAATCTTGTCAGCTACTCTCCTACTATCGTAATATCGCAATCTACTACTCTCCAGCGATTTCAATCGATACGTATCTAATCTTGTCAGCGCAATCTCCTACTCTACTACTATCCTAATCTACTACTATCCTAATCTCCCCGTCAATATATGTTTTTCATTGTCGCGTACTATCCTAATCTCCGGAGTCGCGAACTATGAACGCGGCCTTAGAGTTATCGCGATCGCCGCTTCAAGAAGATAAGTGCATGTACTTTCTTACTCTGTACCGCCTCCTTGGGTGCACGCATACGAAAAATGGAAATCAATCGTGAACATACCGAAGCTATGCTTATTTCAAAGAACTCATGTCAGTGGGGTGGTCGGAATGAGAGCAGTCCAAAGCAGAGAACTGAGGGGGAGGGGGCTTCTCGAAACTACAGTCATCACTTATGTAGTGCCAGTGATTTATTCAATTAGGAAGTAGCAAATTCACCGATTTTGATCCACTCGCGGATAAGCGGATGTCCTCTTCTGATTCCTCATATCCTTTTTGCTTGCTTGAACATAGGTTTAAAATTAATAAAGCTGTTCCTAAATTGTATAGATTTCGTATGAGAAACTTTTTCCATGAGAAACTTGATCAAGCTCTCAACGAAATTTAGCCACAAAATAGCCTTCCGCACATGCGCAAAATCAATATAGTATCGCATATCATAGCGCAGATCAATGCGTGAAACCCACCATGGAATAATATCGTGAAATGTATGATTGCCAACAAAGCAATGCTCATAAGGTTTATACTGAAAGCGTACAGTCAATAAGGCTTTCGTAATTGTTGTAAGCAGCGTGGGCTTCCTTGGCCCAAAATGCAAGTCAACACCCACGTTAAGTTATAGCACCGTTTAGAAACACCACATCTAAGAAATGAGGCATACTGTGATTACCGAAATATCTTCACTTATGATTGATCTGGGCGATAATCAGCGAAATATCTACATTTCCTAAGAAGATCTCGGCTGATTTGCTCAAGATCACGTGATGTCGGTAGGGCCTTTGTGGGAATCAACGACTCCGCTGAAAGGGAAGCATACATATCGATCTGGAAAACTGGAAATTATGCGATTTGGCGACCTGCTAGAAGGTTTAGGTTCGCCTTTATGGGACTGACCCCGGCGCTGCTGTCGTCGGGTGGGGCATCTTTGTTCGAACTGGGGCTAGGAAACCAGAGGAACCTTGGGAACAATGAATATCGCTTTACCACACCACCTTCACTCAAAAGTGTAAACCCTACGTTATGTATTAGGTACCGGATATCTTAGTGTCGCTTTTCTGAGTTCAGGAAGTTTTGGGGCCGATTACTATGGAAAATCAATATCTCAGAAGGCAGTTTTTGCTCATTAATACTGCGAAATATGTTGCTTATTGTTTTCTATTGTTGGTTCACAATTTAACTTTCCCCCAATTTTTATACTTTCTTTGAAAATTCCTGGGTCCAGTGTGCAAATTCGCATGTGTGTACCAAATGCATCAAAATTCTTGCTGAGAGCTGTAACCTCCGCCCACCAAACCAGCATTGCATTTGATGGAGGGAATACTACCATTTAAAATGCTCATCGGTTTTTCACAGTTTTCTTAAAAGACAGTAAAGTCTTTGAAGGGATGCCCGCAACCGTCGCCAAAAAGGTGGTCCTAGCTAAATCAGTCAAAACGGGGCTGCACCAGTCTTGTGCTGGAATGGTAGGACACCCTAGCAGTTACTGATCGATGGTGCACAGACGCTCTAACGAAGTTGATTGACCAAGAAATTCTAATAAATGTGCTCATCTGCTACTCAGTGTGCTCAAAAAGGGTGCGTTTTTGACCCCATGTGGCAAAAAAGACTCCGGGAAAAATTGTCCAGTTGAGCTGGTAAGTAATAAATTTTCCACCAAACAGTGCAGACCCTACTCTAACTAAATGTATACATATTTTGTCCAGGCCCAACTGTTTAGCAAGGTAGAGGGATGATTTGTCAGATGATGTCAAATTCGACCTACCTCTCTTTTTCGTCTCAAAAAATTCCTAACTTTAATCGTACGAGGTTTTCACTCATACTGGTAAATGGGAAAGGGCTAATGAGTCATTCGATGGATATGCCGTTTCACTCACTGGATTTTGAATTAAAATATTGGTGGTCCGAAACTCGCGGTGAAAAAACGACACTAAGATATCCGGTACCTAATAGTAACAACGGGGGGGTCGTACCTGGTTGAGTTTATAGGAGGGGGGTCGTATCCGCTTCAGTCGCGTGGAATTACATGTGAGTTTCCTCCCCCCCCCCCTCCCCTAGAAAATGAAGCAGTGGGATTATAGGTGAAGATAGGTTTAAATGGGTAAAGTAGGGCTAGTGAAATGGCGCGAATCCTTCACCGGTTTCGGCAGTAGCTAATGCCCCCCTCTCCCCTCCCCCGCTGGACGGCATTTTGGAGGAAAAAGTGGGCGGAGTTTCGTGGGTTGAGTGGTACCAGAATTAATACTATAGATAGGATGATGGTGGGTCGAGGTGGTCGAGGTGTCGAAAAGGGGGTCGTATCAAGTCCACCTTGGGGGAGGGGGTCGTAAAAATTTTTGAAAAAGTAACAACGATAGGACCGACCCTGCCTTCACCCCTCTCATTGTCCCCAAGGCTTGATCATAGGTAAACTAGGAGGATCACTTTTTTCTGGATCCAACTTATTTCGTTTCACTTATGCCGATGATATCGAGAGGCCTTATGAGCCTCAACTCGCCCGGACAGTCACCATCTCAGCTCCTATCTCGCTTCTTTCAGTGATGACGAATGGAACATTCCCTACCTGAGAACCAGCTCGATCGCTATTCTCAAATAGGCTATTAGAACTTTCCGCATATTCTCTGCAGCGAAAGACTGGTCGGCTTAAGCCCAACAATAAGCGCATAACTTGAGCCTTTACCACTAGGTCTTTGGTAAAGCCACTCATCATGTGGCCAAAGTTGGAGACTGAAGGGGGCGGATGTATCAAAACTCCCCAAAATGTGAAGTTCGTAAAATCTTCGAGTAACGACGATTGAACCTGGTTTTTGTTGAAGGCTGACTTGAGAAGACTAGCAGCAGAGTAGGCCGCACCCACTCTCCTGCATCTCTTTCCTGCACCTATTCTGCCGCTCTTTTGCCCTCAACACGATTCCACTGAACTTAATAATTCTCTAACTATTCCTTTTGTCATGAGTCCCCAGGTATCGGTGGAAATCTGTTCGAATAATCAAATTCATCAAATCACGGGTGAAAGTGCTCTTCTAGGTCTCGTGCTAGTGGTCACTTGAGAATAAACAATGTTTGTGCGTGTTTATCGATGCCCAGTTTTCAGATTTATGAACCCTACTACAGTGCGAAGTAAGAAGCATTATTCAATTGGAACTAGAGCTTTTTTATTGTGGTTTCATTGGTGTCTTCATTTGTGGCTCCGTTTTCCCTGCAGCGATTTGAGGTTCGTCAAGATTCTGTTCTTCCGAAGGTGGACCCTTTATTTCACAGATCGATGGTGCGTCTTGATTAGTATCGTCTTGCTGAAATGGGCTAATGGTTCATTTTATTCGCTCCACTTTTCTAAGAAGAAGGCGATAAAGAAGAAGCTTGTAGTGGGAGGCAACTCACCCCTTCGTCGGTATAGTATGCCGCCGATGGATGCTCCTAAATTTGATTCGGATCTGAGTTCGGATCATTGAGGAAGAAAAATAGCGGACTTACTTTGTTATCTAGCTCCGGGTCTCGTATCTTCCTCAAAGGATTCGTAGGCTCATTTTGTACCTGCAGTTCAGATACCAAGTATAGTTCAGTGGTAAGATTCTTCTTCAGACAGCAAAACGGTCTCCTTTGGAGTGCTTATGGGAAGTCTGATTGGAATGAATCGTAAGCATTGCATGGCTAGAATTTACTGTTCGGGAACTAATGAGATGGCATTTATACTTCGCTCAAAACACGTATTTCGAGAAAAACGCA